GAGGCAGGGACTGAGGGACTCATCAGAGTAGAAGGAAAGCTCAATGCACCAAAATATTGAGATAGCCCAGTCCAGGGCATTCAGAACCTCAGACTGGGCAGAAAGTTCACCTTCCAAGAGGACAATGACCCTAAGCACACAGCAAGAGTGGCTTATATACAACTCTGTGAATGTCCTTGAGTGGCCCAGCCAGAGCCTGAGCTTGAACCCAGTCAAATATTTCTGGAGAAACCTGAAAATGTGCATCTGTTCCCATCCAACCTGACAGAGCCTGAGCGGTGAAGAGAGGAGGAGAAGAATGGTGGATAATTGCCAAATGATGATGAGCAAAGCTTGTCGCATCAAACCAAAAAAAGACTTGAGACTGTAAAGGTGCTTCAGCTAAATATTTAGTTATGAATATGAATACTTATGCAATGTTCTTATTTCGTTTTTTTTTTTTTTTTTTAATACATTTACGAAGTTCTGTTTTTGCTTTGTCAGTATGGTGTATGGAGTGTAGATTGATGTGGAAAAAAAGTAATTTAAAGCAGTTTAACATAAGGCAGCAACATAACAAAACGTGATAAAAAATGACTGTAAAGGCACTCTATCCATCTATCTATCTATCTATCTATCTATCATAGTTTTAATTAACTATAATAACCCTGAGAGACAGTAGAGAGCTTGCCATTGCTCAGACTGAAAACTGTACTGATGTTTGATTCGGAGGACAGGAAGGTAAACCGACTCACCCCGAAGATAGCGTTGAGTTCAGCCATGCTAACATGCTTGGATCTTTCCACTGCTTGAGCCACCTGATGCTGATGCTGCAAGAACACACAAATTCACACATGAAGCATGAATAGAGAAGATATTCAAAGATCAAGAGAAAACATGCAAAACTACACCTGAGGCGAAACCTGCTACACGACAGCACCTTTCATTGTGAAACACCACAAAGCAGAAGCGCATGTGCCACAAACAGCAGGTCAACTGAAAAGAGTTCGTGTTGTCTCCGTGGCAGGCCTGATGTTCCCAGAGGGCCTTACGATTACAAAATAACCAAATCCACTCAGCGAGGCTTAGAAAAGAACAGTATGAAATATTGATCTAGGGAGAGGTGGGCGATTGGAAGCTCTCTGTTGATGACCACCTCTGCTGTAAATAATTCATGTGTAAATAGCCCGCGGGGGAGAGCAGCTCGGAGAGGATGAGAGCGCGCGCGTGCGTGCGTGCGTGTGTGTGTGTGTGTGTGTGTGTGTGCGCTCACCTCTTGGGACAGCAGTGGAATGATCTGAGTGCATATAGCACTAAGCCGCTTTACAATCTCTGCCTGCAGAAACAAACACACAAATTCCCATCAAACAACAGACAACACACTAAAGAAAACAGTCAGGCTAACTGAGGTCTATTGGTTTGTTTCTCTAATAGAACAGTAGCTAATGCGTCAGTATGTGCTGTTCATTCAGGACCGTTTTCACATTATATATTGTATTTTATTATTATATTTAGAGAAATCTTTTAAACCCTGTATGTTTGATAGGTAAATAACATTTGTTGCAGTTTGACACCGATTTTCATATTATTAAAAAAAATGTTATTTTCATCAAAACATACATGCCATTTTAGTCAAAAGTACATTTTAGACAGACAGACAGATAGATAGATAGAAAGGGGTCTTTCCTAGCTGCCAGAGGTGCTTTTAATACATCACACACAAACACAGATCACATATGAACACACTTCCATACAGGCAGATCCCACACACTCTGACCCACATACACACTCAAATCCAGGCATTTCCAACAGATGGCCTGGAAAACAAGGAGAGATGCAGGGGTCTTATCTGGATTAGCCCACTCTAGTGTGTGTGTGTGTGTTTGCTCATATAGAGTAGTCAGGCTTAAACCCTGCTTCAGAGTAAATACCCAACAAAACACTGAAGTAACAGAAAAATTGAGCCGATATGGGCCGATACCGATATGGTGGCCGATATATCGTGCATCCCTAATTTGTATCTATGCATTTGGCAGAGGCCTTTATCCAAAGCGATTCATAGTGCATTCAGGGTATGATAATGCATTATTTATCGCTTTAAGATATCGGCCAAATTTTCTTATCAGGCCGATACCGATAACAGAAAAAATGAGCATTTATCGGCCGATACCGATATGGTGGCCAATATATCGTGCATCCCTAATTTGTATCTATGCATTTGGCAGAGGCCTTTATCCAAAGCGATTCATAGTGCATTCAGGGTATACGTTCAGTATTGATCAACAATATTAACTCCATCATTTATAATTTTTCAGTACTTCTCAGACAATTTTATCCCAGTTTTCAATGAAATAGTGTTATTTGGTAGAGCATAACTATAAATTGAGCATTTTGTGTGTATTGTCAGTTTGCAAAACATCTTGTATGATTACACTGTATGGACTTGCACTACGCCTTATGCAATAAAATAAATAAAACAAAATTAACATGCAATATGCCTTTTTCATTACAATGAAATAATATAATATAATGGCAACAAAAGACTCAGTATGGACTTGCACTATGCCTTTATCAATAACAAATGAAATTGTATGGACATGCACTATGACAATACTCATAAAATAAAACTACAATGTATACATTTTTATTTTGTTATTTATTTTATAATGAATCAAATTCATGCATTACAAAATTATAAAATGTATACATTTTCAGTACTTGTTCCTATCTATTAGCTGTGAAAGATATAAATGCCTATGCAATGAATTATCCCATTTTTGGCCAATTTGAAATTATCGGCATCAACCAATAATTGGTTGCCAGTTGACAGAAAAGTCAGTTATTGATTTTTTTTCAATTCCAAAATGACCAAATGCCTTGAGAACAGATCTTTTTTTTTTCCCGCTGTCAATCTTTTTAAAGAGTCTATCTTGTACAGTCAATCTTTCTCAATGAATTGCAAATAGACAATATGTAAAATATAATAAACTTAAAATTTCACAATTTTATATACACCGTGCTGGGTAGAAATTGATTACATGTAATCTGGATTACGTAATCAGATTCCAAAAATTAAGTACTTGTAATTAGATTATATTACATTTTAATACTCGTAATCAGAATACAGTTAACTTTGATTAGATAATAACATATTATTCACACAATAATTCACAATTTATTGATTCGCCCTAATTCTTCGACACAAGATCAACAAATTAGGTCAAATGTAATCAAATATATTACCTAAAATGTGTAATGCAATGGATTACCTTACTAACTGTAATTTCAATATATGATATTATTTTATACATACAATATATATAATTTGATTTCTTTTTATATTATTTATCCCAGGTTTTCAGTGTGGTCTTTGACTATATGCACTGCCATTATACTGGTCAAGAGCAAACTGGCCACTAAAAAAAAAAAAAACATCGATCGACCACAACTATCAGCTCAGTCACAGCGGAGGATTATGGGTAATGTTGTTGGATGTCACTCTCACCATGATGTAATGTCTGTGCATCTCTGTTTTCTCACTCGCCAACTTCTCACATTCCAGCTTCAGACTGAAAAACAGAAAACGACACACGATGTGAGGTCATGTGACACTGTGCCCCCGTCATGTGACAGTGGTCTATAGGTCACAATATCAGCCCTTCCAACATGAAACAGAACAACTTTTACCACCGCTATTACTGAAGCCGATTCCATTTTATAATGTACACTGATGTTTACTGTTCTAAAGAAAGACGTTCAGTAGCTTTTGTAATTGCTCCTAATGAGACTATCAGGATTAGCTGGCTAATAGTCTGCATCAGCTAATACAGGCGTCTCTAGTCGCTGGAGTGATTTTAGAGCATTACTGTTAGATAATCTCATCAGCTTTGCACAGGTGATCCCAACTGCAGTTCAGAGAGGACGGAGATCATCATACAGATCTAAATCACAACATAATTGAATAAAATGCAGATGCAATAATAGGAAATGACGCAAACAGCAGTAAACATCAAGGAACATGAGAAGCTTTTGAACATCGGTTTAATTTTATGAGTCAGTTGAGTTACATTTGGAGAGTTTGTGTGAATAATATTGCGATGAATCCTCCAGGATGAGGTGAAATGAAGGTCATGCATCTGTACCTGTGATACTGGGCCTGGAACAGCTGGAATTCTTCTTTTATATGGTCGAGAGTTTCCAGGACGGTGAATTTCACACCGGCGTGGCCTGACACCAGCGGAGCCTGAAAACACAGAAGTATTGTGAGGGACGTCACTCCAAAAAGATCCACCGGTTAGCCTATTATTTACCATTTCTACAGTGTAATGGGATTACATTGCTAATTACTCTGTATGGAGTAATCATGTTAGGTAATCTCAGGAGGACAATACAAGGATAAATGGCAAATTGTATCTTCATTTAACATACCCAGTGTGGGAAATGTGGGTCTGCTGTTATTTTCATGATGATGCCATGTAAAATTCATGTTTTATGTTATTATGTTTTCAATGAAATAGTGTTCTTTGGTGTGGTACAACTATTTTCATTTTGCAAAACATCTTGTATGATCAAGCTGTATGAACTTGCATTATGCCTTATGATATAAAAATAAAATAAAATAAAACACTGTTAAAATAATGCATAAACACATGCACCTTTTTCATTACAATAAAATAATATAATAAATGGCAACAAATGTCACAGTATGGACTTGTGTGGACCAGTATGCGTGTGTGTGTGATTTGAATAAATCACATTATTATTATTTTTTAATTCAATGTTTTGTAATTTTAGTGTAAGTGGGAATACACAATCAAATCCTCTGACACACACACACACACACACACTGACCACACAAAGAAGGCTTCACTGTATGAGTAAAGAGACACTTTATATGGCCCTGCCGTTGACAATAAATGCTTTGTTTTGTCAGCTTTATCAAAAACACGAGACTGACTGCAGGCACATATTGGACTTGCACTATGCCTTTTACATTAAAAATAAAATAAAATAGTTAAACAATGCCAAACGATGATGATGCATAGGTCTGATTAAGACCTTGCCAACAAAAATTTATTTGACTTGCACTTTGCATCAAAATTAAATAAAATTAAATATAAAATTAAATAAAAATAATATTAAAAATTAAATAAAATAAAATAATAAATTGTTCCTGTTAGACAATGCCAAACAATGATGATGTATAGGCTTGCACTATGCCCTTTTCATAAAAATAAAAAATGAATAAATAAATACCTAAATAAGTTCATTAATTAAAATAAAATAATATAATGTAATATTTTGTCTGTTAGACCTTGCCATCAAAAATGACTTGAACTTTTGCATCAAAGTAAAATTAAATAAAAAATAAATAAAAACAAATTAACTAGTTTATTAGTCTGTTATAGGCTAATTAGTTGATTAGACATGCCAAAAATGATGCTTGCACTGTGCCTTTTCCATCAAAATAAAATAATATTTTGTTTGATAGACCATGCCAACAAATGCTGTATTGAGATATATATGCTGGGTTATGGTGAAGAGCAGATATTCAGAGGAATGGAGGCTTTGGTCAGTGAACAAGAGGGTGTTGTACCGAGAGCCGAGTACAGCGGGACAGAGCCATGAATTGTCACACAGACTGTTCCTCTCACACCAGCCCTGAAAGAACGCAGTCATCTATCTCACACTGTTTACTGTGCAGGGCACTTTCAGCCGAGAGATAGAGACGGAGAGGGGAGGGGGGAATCACAGAGCCGTGAATAAATGTAGGCTGCTGAAATATTCAGCACATGTGGCACAAATACAAGAGCAGTAACAGCCGTGTGTGTGCAAACGACACATGAACCTGCTGCGTTCCCAATCGATGCTTCCTGTGCCGATTGCTGCTACTGGCAAAAACAGAACTGTTCGGGAGGGAAAAAAACCCTCACATCTGTTCGGAGCGATCGTCTCATTCCAGGAGACTGAATCTGTACTGTACATCAGCTCTGATGAGCAGCTTGTTAAGGCCTCGATACACAATACTGCTCTGATGAGAACTGACACCATGCACCGCCGCCTCCAACACGCACACAGCCACACACACGCGCACACACACACACACACGCACACGTGCAGCCGCTGCACTTTATCCGTTTATTAGGGCAGTTCATTTTACATCTTCATTTGATGCCACTAATTATCAAAAAATAACTAAACTTTATACAAACATAAATAATGATTAAAAGAATTGTTCAAACAAACATGACTATGTACTCACCCTCAGGCCATCCAAGATGTAGATGAGCTTGTTTCTTCATCAGATTTGGAGAAATGTAGCATTGCATCACTTGCTCACCAATGGATGCTCTGCAGTGAATGGGTGCCGTCAGAATGAGAGTCCAAACAGCTGATAAAAACATCACAATAATCCACATCACTCCAGTCAACGGCATGTGAAGTGAAAAGCTGTGTGTTTGTAAGAAACATATCCGTCAAGATGTTTTTATTTCTCTCCTGAAAAACAACTCTAAACAAACATGTGGGTGGATTTTGATGTGAGAGGACAACAGGAGATGGACTTTTTCACTGAGGGAAGCGTTCATTATTGATTGTTAACTCATATTTTTGCCAGAAGCGACAGTTTAAAGTTAAAATGCCTTAATGATGGATTTGTTTCTCACAACCATGCAGCTTTTCACTTCACAAGGCATTAACTGATGGACTGGAGTGATGTGGATTATTGTGATGTTTTTATCAGCTGTTTGGACTCTCATTCTGACGGCACCCATTCACTGCAGAAGCTCCACAGGTGAGCAAGTGATGTAATGATAACCTTCTTCAAATCTTCTGATGAAGAAACACATTCTGGATGGCCTGAGGGTGAGTACAATTTCAGCCATATTTTCATTTTAGGTGAACCATTCCTACCATCTGAGAAATTCAAGCTTGAAGTACCACCTAAATGCATGTTTTTTCGCAAATTCTGCAGTGTGTGCTGTCACAGCTTCTACTACATGCAAAGCTGAACTTTTTAAGTCAGTGTCTTGAAAACAGTGTTAATGGTTCGAGACTGTTAGACGTCACATAACAGCCAAATCAGTCCATCCAGCGCATGTGACAGGATGGGGTTTTGAGAGATGCTAAACTGTGTGTGATTTTATGTTAAGTGTTAGTAGAGCTAGTGTGTGCTAAAGCCAGATCTGATCATTAACACCATCAACGTAATGATAGTAAATACAGCACAGACGGCGAAAGATACACAAACCACACACATATATACATGCGAATATCACTCGCATATTCACACCGCTTACATCTGGTATTATCGTCACACATATTTATTATGATCTGGTATTATCGTGTGAACCGAACACAAATGCACAGTGCTGAGTAGAGTGCAACTGTACGGTTCACATTCATATTCAGAAACTGATTTGTAAAAATAGCATATGAGATCCACCAAAAGCAAAAGAGCTCAGCAGAGACCGTCCACTCCCATGAAGCACTGTGAATATCATAATCGACTCGAGTCTCCCTTTAAATCCACTTACATATTTGCATATCTATCTATCTATACATTTTTAATAAATATATTGTGTTTATACTTGTAAACAATGACTACTGGTCATCAGTCATTAGTTTCCGGAGCAATTCTTTCACTTATGAATTTAAATGCACAGTAACTATCTTGAACAATAGAATACAAACCTAGACTTGTTTTTTCAGCTAGTTGCTAATGCAAAATTTAGTTGAACTAAAGCTAAAATTGAAATAAAATGTAAAAAGACATACTTAAAATACTTTTAAAAATGCACAACAAAATTACTCAAATTTGAACTGAAATGAAAAATAAAAACTTATCTAATATTAAAATAACAACACAACAACAACAATTTCAAATATTTATAAAAACTACAACAGTATCTGAATGGTTGAGATCAGAGAGGCAGAGGATAATCCCAGGTGTAAAGCGGGCATGAGCGTCCTGTATCAGATCCGACAGGGTTTTGAGAGCAGACAGAAGCTGCCCACTGGAGTCAGATCATCAGCGGCCCAGCAGGCAACAGCACACACATTCATTACGTATTACCACACACAGATGTAAAAACAGCACACACTAACAAACCAAACCACATTTGCACACTCTCTGAAGGTCATTCATTATGCACACGAAAATTCTTCACTTTAAAGCTAATGCATGTTACCACAAAACTGGGTCTCCATGTGCCTGTAATAACAAGCCATCACAGCAAAGGTAGCTTTGAAGTGCAGCTCAGTGTGTGAGTGTGTGGTATCGTGTTGCCCAGTGACGATGATGGAACATGACATTTGCAGCGGAGAGTGGGGTGGCCCGGATCCATATGTAGCAACATGCAGCAATAACTCGAAGAAACCATTCATTCACCCGTCCATCCATCTGTCCATCCCTCCACTACACAGAGCAAACTCAAGCCACAAATCTCTCCCTCGGTTCATGAGTGTCCTTCTACTGTATTTCTGCCTTGAATAATGCCTCATTCCTCCTCTTCTGCCCATCTCTCACAATTCAAAAGTGTTTTCTTGGCATGACTTTTTAATATACAAAAATAATTATTAAAAATAACTGAAATAAATATAAAAATAAAAGTGCACACACACACATACATATATATATATTACATACACATTTTATTTGTTATATATATATATATTATATAGACATTTTATTTTTATTTGTTATATATATTACATACACAATTTTTTAATTTTTTTTATTAAAATAATTGACACCCCACTCTCCACTGCAAATGTCATGTTCCATCATTATTAATCATTAATTACAAATAATTAAAAATTGAAATAATTACATAAAATAGAATAATTATCTATGTATATGTGAAATAAAATAATTTATTTTATGTGGAAGAATTACACCTGTTCTAATTAACATTTGTGCATGTACTTGGCCTATATTGGCTATATGTGTGTGCTTTGTATAATTGTGTTTAAATGTGGGCCAGCTTGAGGAGAAGGGCTTCCCCAACTAAGTTGTGGTTCCTCTTGAGGTTTCTTGATTGTAGATGAATATAGATATAGAGTTGTGTCAAGTACAGTAATATATTCAAATAATATGTGTGTGTGATATACAATAACAATACATATATAAATATATCATTAAAATATCACAAGTAAAAAGTGTAGTAAAACTGTGGACGCAGAACAGAATCATGCACAATCTAAAAGACGTGCTGTTTAATAATAGGCTCATTTATATATATATATATATATATATATATATATATTTACGGTGACTGTAATGGGACTCCAGGCCTGTGTGTTTTCTCAGCCCGTGCATCAATCACTGAACCCATAACGCTGTAATTAACTCTTCATCGTGACCTTAACCCTGACCCTAACACCAAACACAATGCACGTTCAAACGGGCCACCGCGCGCAACTCAGCGATCCGCTAGAGACGATCTGGAAAGGAAAGTTCATTAGGCTGCGGTACCTGGGGTCTTCCGTGCGGATACATGGCTCTGGAGGTCATCCACGGGGATCTCGGTGGTCAGGACCGACAACGAACCCTCCTCCCCCCCCACGCGTCCGCTGCGGAAACCAGCGTCGCTCCTCCGCTCCAGACGTTCTCGAGCAGCTGAAGAAAGACAAGGTAGCCGATGAAAAGTTAAAAACGTTCTATTCGCTCGGATCAAACGCGCTTCCTCTTTATGACGCACAGTGACGCCGCGCTACAATGTAACAAGATCATCCTGTGCGGGGCGCGTGCACGACGAGCGCGCGACGGAGATCAGAGGAACATAAACAGCGCTGAATAATCAGCGAGTCGATTCGCTCGAACGATTCACTGATTCACTCGAGTCTCCTTAAAATGTACCACGTTAAACAGCCGAAATACCACGGGGCTTTGAGGAATTTGTCGCAGCTGTGATCAGAGAAATAAAACACAGTTTAGGAATGACTATGTCTGTTGAAGAACAAAACCGTCTCTTCAAACATGTTAACCCCGGACTTTTACATTCAAATGTAAAAACCGCGAAAACCCCGTAGGCAAATCCTGAGGGGACCTATGTGGCTCGAAAATGTTAATCATCTTCTGCATCTGACTACGAAATGATCTTCTCTGTTGTTTGTAATGTTAATTCTCCAAAGCTTTAAAAAAAGAAAATACAGCTAGCATGGTGAAATCCTTCAATAATGTCGCTCTGCGAATCGGCTCGAGCGAATCACTCAAATGATCCGGTTCAAAAGAATGATTCGCTCGCGATTCGGCTATCAACGAGCCGAACTGCAGCCAGCAAGAGGTGCATTGGATTTCTGAAAATCTCAAATAAATATTCGAGAGATTGAGAGGTTGAGAGAAAGGGGTGGAAGATCAGAAGAGAAAAGAAAACGCACAGCAGCTCTTGCCTGCATTACTGCGCCTGTGAGATTGACATTAACTGCGGAGCGCCAAAGCTGCTTCTAAGGTCGACCGCTTACATTTGCTTATGAAGATTATATAAATAGGATAAAACGGGAAAAAAGTGATAAAACAGCTGAAACCAAATTATATCGGTATATGTTCTATTAATATTCTAAACTCAGCTATTTAAAATTAAATCCTGTTTGAAAGAGAACAAAGCGGGAAGCCGCTCGTATCATAACAACACAGAACATAATGTACAAACATTGCAGCCTTAACGTCTCTTTTCACGACTGGACTCTGATTGGCTAACAAGATTAAAGTCAAGGCCAATGAGTGACACCAATGCCCACGTTGGGTCGTTACATCTGCTTTGATCTGGACCAATCGTGGAGCAGGACTTAAGCGCAAGCGCGTCAGTGTTGCTTTATGGGTAATGGAGTCTTTTATGTTCTCGATCGCCGCATGATGGAGAGCCAGTGCATGAAGCGAATTGATATATGTGAATATTCGTGAGATTATGAGTTAATGATCCACATTGACAATCTGTACAAAAGAGGTATCATGTACAAACTGAAACGGAATAATATTAAGAAATAGACAATACTGACCGAACTGCATTAGCCTGTATAATCATCACGTGCCATTTCATATACGCATTATAATTTCAACACCATGCATGCCCTAATATATTGCATAGAATATTAATCTCACTTATTTAGGCTAATGAGTTTTCTTTTATCACGAAATCACAGTGAAGTGTGCACATCTGCTTAAAGGACAATTAAGATGCATTACAAGTTCAAATCAATTTTAAATGAGAATTTGCAACTTAAAAACCGGCTCTCAAGAACCGGTTTCAAAAGCATGATTCGCTCAAGAAGCCAAACTGCAGTGAATAAAATACTAAAACTCAAAGATTTAAAGATGCAAATCATAATAATACATTTGGTTTTATCACGAATCACGACAGTGTGAATATATCCGGTTAAAGGAAATTAAATTAAAATGCACTAAAGTTAAATTAAAATTAAAACATTCATTTTAATTTAGAATTAAACTGCAACTAAATAAAAAAAACCTTGAATATAGTTTTAATTAATTTTTCCCTAAATACTACTATCAATTTTTTTGTTAATTCCCTTGTGTGTGTGTGTGTATATATATATATTCAGGAAAGTATTCAGACCCCCTTAAATTTTTCACTCTTTGTTATATTGCAGCCATTTGCTAAAATCATTTAAGTTATTACCCCATATTGACAGAAAAACACAGAATTGTTGTCATTTTTGCAGATTATATATATATATATACACACCCACACTAATAAAAACATTTATTATCAGATATAAAGACAGAAGAAAAAATGAAAGGTGGAAAAAAGGACAAACTTAAGTAGAGGAGGAGGAGAGGTGCAGTGTGGCGGAAATAAAACCGCGATGAGAGGATGACGAGAGACAGTGACAACACACACACACACACACAGAAAGAGTTTAATGAAATATCATGTCAGAGCTCCACCACAGGCCACATCTCCATCAACCAGAGGAAATGAACAGACCGACAGAATGTGCGCATACAGAAATAGAGAATGTGAATAGAGAAAGAAAGAAAGATTGATGAATTGTTACCTTCATTCAGCAGATCATATCAAATCAGAACTAGGCTACACTCATTGAAATGCAAATATACAACCATTATTATTATTATTATAATTATTATTCGTAATAAAACAGTTTGTATAGATCTGCAGAGGTAAGAAATGAAATGTAAACATCCAAAAATAACAAATAACAAACTTAAAAATAGCTTAAAATACATAAACAATAACACAAAATATCAAATAAATAAGTTGAAAATGAATTTTAAAAAAAAATGTTACAAATAAAAGTTACTGAAAATCACTTAAGGTAAAAACTAAATAAATAAGACAAAAAAAAAACCCCACCTGAAAAGTCACAAGGAAACCAGGGGCCCATTTCATAAAACAAGTTTACCAAATAAGCCAGGTTTATTTCAGTTAGTCTGACTTATTGTCAGTTGATTTGGTTTAAAATAAGCCTGGCTTATTTTGGTCAACTTGTTTTATGAAACAGGCCCCAGATGAGTTAACAAATCAAAAAAACTAATTAAAACTTAAGCAAAAACAAAAAAGAAAATGTAAATGCATAAAAAGTGCATCAAAAGAGCACAAAAATGGTAAGTTCTATGTGATCTGTGGTGATATTTCATTAATGTGAGAGCAAAATCCTTCCTTCAGTATTGAGTGTATCAACATTAAACATGCCATCAAGATGATTAAATTGCATATTTGTTTATAGTCTAAATCGCTTATGAAGCAGAAACGGTTTATGTTTGTCCAGCTTCATTTGTGTGTGTTATGATGAGCAGTCTGTCCAAAACCAGCTGAAATTACAGTCATCAGTGTATCTCATTTTCATCTGCAGGACAGCGTGGCTTTAGAAACACACCATTAACCTGCTCGCTTCATCAGCGCTGTCAGCTCTATAGAAGGATCATTAGCAACAGCAGCACCTGCTGTACAGAACAGAAATGGTCTCCCGAAAAAGAAATAGTTTACATAGAAAACATTTTTCATTACTCATTACTCACCCTTATGTTGATCCCAAATGACTTTTGTCCTTCTATGAAACACAACAGGAGTTTTCCACAACGGCTCTTTTCAAAACAAAGACAGCAAACAGTGACCAGGAGCTTTCAAGCTTAAAAAGAGGACATTATAAAATGGACAGTTCTGCTCCTGGAATACACAAATATAGCATAGAGGTCAAATATTACCCTTTACATGTCACGCACTAGATTCTCTAGCCTGTGTTTTAATGAAAATGCATGTGCACTACAGTTCAAAGTTTGGAGTCAGTGAGATTTTATTTATTTAGCTGCATTGAATTAATCAAAAATATAAAAAAACAGTAATATCGTGAAATTTCAAATAATAGTTTTCTATGGGAATATATTTCAAAATGTAATTTGCTCCTGTGGTGCGCAGCTGAATTTTCAGCATCATTACTCAGTGTCGCATGATCCTTCAGAAATCATTCGAATATGCCGATTTGCATGATGCATTATAAATGTCTTTACTGTCACTTTTG